CATTTAAAGTTATTTGTCTTAAACACGCTTGTCTTTTCTTCAGACTAAGTAGAGGAAATAAAATGACATATTTTTAAAACAAAAACTGTAGAATATCAAAGGCTAGCATAGCTTGGCCTTGAAATCACTGTGTAACCTAGGCTGTACTTAGTACACCCCCAGTGATCCTCCTGCCTCAGCCTCCCAAGAGCTGGCATGAGTAACTACACCTGGCTAATACATGGATTTTAAAAGTCAAATAGACAGTGGTTCCACTGTCTGCCTCACAAGTGCAGGGACCCAAGATCCATCCCTGGTACAAAAAAAAAAAAAAAAAAAAAAAAAAAAAAAAAAAAAAAGTAAACTAGAGAATTAATGAGTTGAAAGATACGAAATATTGTTAAGCATAACAGAGAAAAATCAATGTAAAAAAAAGAAGTGATATTAAAAGACTTAGAGAATACACTTAAGTAAGTTAAAAAGTAGATGACCCAAGAGAAGAGGAGGACCAGGAAGAGATAAGAAATACATGCAACAGCTTCAACTTTGAAACACATGTACGTATATACACTAACTCTAGTGCCTTCTGAGGAATTTTAAAACAATTTCTGTGTTGAGAGAATGTCTTATAGAAGACACAGCAGAATTATCACAAGAAGGCCTCTATACCCTATTTGATGATCTAAAAGACTATGCTGCTGACAATTATCAAAAATACATTTAATCAAGCAGTTGTCCACCAATCTAAAGTCAACTGTATGAGACTTCATCTCCTAAAGCAATGACTGGTTTTCTAGAATACACGATAGAAGGTAGGGTCTTCCAAGAGTACAAACAAGAGTTAGATATGTGGGAGCGTCTCACAAAGAAGTCAATGAAGTTAGTACATAAGCCAAACATATGCTGCAAGAAAAATATAAATTTGGAGATGAAAGAAAAGGGCATTTTCTTGCAACAAAATAATTACAGGTAACAAAGAATAGAAGTTAAGTGTATATCTATGTGTCTGCTCCCTTGTAATTACAGCAAAACAGACATACATGCTAAAAATTAAGAGCGCATTTCTTCAAAATTTCTAATGCTAATTTCTGAAGATCCCATATACACATAATAAATATGATGAAGGCTTGAGTCTAGACAAATGGTCTACTTTAGTTCTTTGAATATAATTGTAATGGCAAACTAAAATCTTTATTCAGTCCAATACCCAAGTAGTCTGTACTAACTAGATTTCCCCCAGGTGAGTGAACCACTTTTTCCTGTTTGTCTGAATATCTCATAAGCCTTTTGCTGTTGATGAAAACCAGACATTAAAATGATGTAGCAACCTCAGATGTCAGATCTTTTCTATGCTCCAAAGATTACCTTTTTAACATTATTGTTGTTACTGCTGCGTTTCTTAGAAAGTTCTTGTGTAGTAACCTTTCTGCAATAATTTTTGTTTTGTTTTGTTTTCGGTACCAGGGATCAAACTCAGGTTCTTGTGCTTGGAAGGCAGGCAGTGGAACCACTGAGCTAAATCGCCGGCCTTCCATAACAATTTTGCAAAGCCTACATTCCTTGTTATATGTGGCTTCTAAAATCTCTTATAGGTTAGTTTAGTTGTCAGCTAATGGAATCAGACAGAGATTTACTTAAATATTGTGAGCCATCAAGTCTTTCTTCCTTTTCCAAGGGGCTCTATGTGCTGAAGCATAAGCTTCAGCATTGGCACTTTGCAACTCTACGTTGGCCTTCACAGAATCAAAATCCACTGGAGAATACAGCTTTCTTGGGTCTTTCTTGGGCATATGTATGACTTTAAATTCCAGGAATATTTTCAAAAAGTCTATCAAAGCTATCTATGGCAAAAACATGTTCCTTCTTTTCTCTCTCCTCCCTCTCTTCCTTCTTTTGGGCCAGCCTCTCTTCCCAGGCAGTGGAGAAGATAAATGATCTCCACCTACTGTTTTTGGCAGACATCCTGGGGAGAGGGCTTTTCCCACTGAGCCTTGAGGTGCGTCAATATGAAAAGCTGTAAGATGGGGACTTTCCAAGAAACTGTCAGGTCAAATAATAACAAATCTGTGTAGAAATGGCTTTTGTGGAGCTCCCAACCTCATCTGGGCCCTTCAGTGACTTCTGCATTTTGGTTCTCCATAAGTTAGTGTGGCTGTTTAGCTCTTAGCTTTTAAAGCCACCATCCACATATCTGGGAAGGGGAAGAGTGGAATAAAGCAAGTTAAAACATGGAAGACATTCTTAAGTAAACACTTGGGTTATTATAAGCTTTGGTTGCTATCTACATTTCTAAGAACTGAATTTTAACAAATTTTTTTGCTAGAGTTTTCACTGCTTGTTATGAAGAAGGCCATTTGTGGAGTCAATCATTTCACAATTCTAGCAGCCCTACTGAATTTTTTCCTTTAAAAGAGTGTCAACTGTGTGCCTAATTCCTTTTCAGTACATTAAATTTATGGATTTAAATATTTAGTCTATTTGGCATTTATTTTACAGAGAGAATACAGAAGGAAAAGAGCAGTCAATTAAAATATTTTTAACATTCTGTGCTTTAAGTACAATTCTTCTGAGGATTTAATAAAAGTATGGACCACCTCTGCAAAAAATACCAACATATATTTTATTTTGCATAATTTCACTAAATTCACAGAGTATATGGACCTGCTACATGGAATCAAGATAAAAAAATCCTGATTTGTTAAAATTCATCTCATCCTAGCTAATTTGTCATGCTATATTTACAGATACGTAAATTACAGAAAATCAAGTGTATTTCTGGATTCTATCTTGTTTGATTGGGTCTGTTGACTGTCAATTCCCATAACAACAAAACCATGTAGTTATAATTACACCACACATTATTTTGCCTCAGAAGTTTTACATTTGCTGGACTTCTGAAATACTCTTCCTGCTTGAAACTCTTTCTTAAATATACACAAAGCAAAGTCCTCACATCTGCGCAAGTCTCAGCTGAAAGACTGGCTCTTTGGCCAGCACCTACCTGACTACCTTTCTTTATATACTGGGTTATTCACCCTCTAATTCCCTAGAGAGTTTATTCTTTCATTTTTGATTTTTTGAGATAGGGTCGTACAATGTATTCCACCTGGCCTTGAACTCATGGCAGTCCTCTTGCCTTAGTCTCCCAAGTACTGGGATCACAGGCATGTGCCCCCATGCCTGGCTAAACAGCTCTGTTTTTCATGACATTTATCACTACTTGGTTTATGTTAGAATCCTAGTTTCCAAATGGTCAGGGAATTATTTTCTCCTTTTTTGTATCCCCCGAAATAAGTACAGAGCCTGGAACATGACAGACAATCATTTTAATTGTTCATGTAAAACACTACAGATTTAAGTTTCACCACAAAAATTTGATTATTCTCCTGGTCTAAATAGGCAGAATAGATCATGTGACTTCAAGAAAAGTAATGTATCTGTCTATCTCCTAGCCTAGGCCTGTGAAGCTCAAAGGCGTTAATGAAAAAAAAAAAAAAAAGATTTTAAAGACTTTGGAAAAAGAGTTTTAAAGACTTTCCAACATTGGAAAAATTTTAAAGTTCACTATCTATCCCAGTGCCTTACAGGCTAACAGCAGAGACATGTACTCCTTAAAATATATATTCTTCAAGTTATACTTTTTTTATATGGGTGATGAATATGTGCTAATTCATTCAAGCTGTCTTGCTCAATTTCATGGTGACTAACAAGCCACATCTATGTGAGTTTGGAAGAGTACTCTATGTCCACAAAAAGCAAAACAAAACAAAGAGAAAAACACTCCCTAAACTCTCCCAAATGAGGAAAAATAAAGAATGATCTTGACCTTGCTGGCATAGAATTCCAACCAACAAAACTGACAGATAAATAACATACGTGTGTGTGTGTGTGTGTGTGTGTGTGTGTGCGTGCGCACACATATGTAATAGGCGCAGATACTAATAATGGTTAGAGTAACAATTAGAAGTAATGATTATTTTAATGGAAAAAAGTAAAAAAAGACTATTACTGCTATCTTATATAGATATAATGAACAAATCTATTTAGATTTTCTAATAAATGGGTAGCTATGTGTCCTTGAGGATAAACTTAAATGACATCTTTTAAAAAGTGTAACATTGATTCTGCAAACTGAAAACTTTGAAGTTTTAGGGCTTTTTATGATTATTAAAAAGCCCTAAAAATTTAGATTATTTTGAATGGTTAGTTATTTTAGCTACATTCAAAAGAAGTAAAAAACGGTAGTTGATGTGACACGTGGACTATGTGAAACAGACTTTATGAATGTTATCTTCTGGTTTGTATACTTGATTAAGGGAAGATTTGTTCAAGTTCTATGCCTATATGAACAAAACACCAAATCCAAGTAAAATTAAATATGCAAATTCAATTAGGGAAAATACAATTTAGGGATGAAAGTTTATATAAATGATCAAAAGTTACTTCCTATGTATAACATACTTATCTCTCTTTTGAGAACATAGTGAACATTTTTTGCAGTTACTAATGGTACAACAGTTAATTAAAGTATTTTTTATGTAAATATGTCATTTTGTATTGACTCTATGTTTGTGTGTACTGCGGGTGGGGGTCATGAGAACACAGAGAGCAAAAGGTTTAATGTAGCTGAAATCACTAAATGTAAATGTGGATTCTAAAAAAACTAAAGAAGTAAAATATGTTATAGATTATTTTAATTTTTTGAGACAGGGTCTCACCGTGTAGTTCAGATTGCCTTGGAACTCACTGTGTAGCCCAGGCTGGTCTCGAACTCCCAACGATCCTCCAGCCTCACCTTCCCGAGTTCTGAGATTACAGGCATGTACCACCAATCCCAGAAAGAAATCTTGATATCAAATAAAAATACACTGAAGTACTAAAAATTGTTAGTATCAAAGACCTAAAAATTAAATAATGCTATGTTCACTATGTTAATTTTAAATATGATAAATTAATAGTAAGACCACTTCATTTTGAGACAAATCAGAAAAACAAGTTTACAAGGAATTAATTTAACTGACCTGACTTATTTTCCTCTGTTCTTGTATAGCTGTTTCAATGGCCTGAGATACCTTTTCTTGATCTTTTGCATGTTCTGTTTTCCATAATTCCCTTTCTTCTGCATGAGCCTTTTCCAAATTCTTTCTTTCTTCTTCTATGGCTTTCATAACTACCTCTTTCATTGCTTCTTGTTCTAGCTTCAAAACAATTAATGATCAAAACATAATCGTTTGAGTGATTATACAATAAGCAAATTTGGTTAGCCCAAAGACACAAAACTTGATCTTATTTAGCTCTAAAATTCCTTTTCTATGCATGTTAAATGATTACATAAATATACATTATTCCTTTTATACAAATACTTTCACTGATTTCCATGGCATTTCTAATACTTCAAGGAAATCAACACCTTAGCTTAAGGCAGCAGATTCCAAGCCTTGTGCTATTAGGATCCTTTTATAATGTTAAAAAATGATGAGTATGTCAAAGTGCTTTGCTTAATGTTGCTAGTACTTATTTTCATCGTATTAGACATTCATATCAAGAAAAGTATTGATTTGACATAAATTTACACTTATGTCATTATATGTACTACATATTAACAAACATTGTGATAAATAACCATAATTTCCAATTTAAAAAGTGAGAACTTCAATGTTATATGTACATAAACTTCAATACCTGATTTAGTAGAAAACAGCTAGGTTATTATGTCTACTTTTTATATTAAATCTGTAATGATAGATTTTTAGTTGAAGTGTTTAAAAAATTTACCCATACACAGATAAGTAGTTTTCAAAAGGAAAAAGTATTTGGTAGTCAATTTAGATGACTGTGGCTACTTTATATGATTTTGCTTTAAACTTTGATAAAAGACCAATGTCAAAAGTTGGCTGAAATAAAGAAAATTATGTCAAATGAAAATTTTATCCTGTTACAATGCAATCATTTATAATACTTTGATTCCTTTTATCAAAGAATAATTTAAAAATACTTGTTGTTTGCTAAAGATTGATTCACTGGGTTACAGATAGTAACACATTTCTTTGTAGCATAACAAAAATTTAAATTGTTCATGTCATCATCAATCTCAAGATTAAAATCTTTAAGTACTACAACACTGATATAGATTGTAAAAATTTAAATTTCTGTTTTAACTATTTCAAACTCCTTAAAAAAGAGTGCTATGTTCTGTTTATTTTCTTGAAGCTATAATCTGGGACTGCAGATAATTGGTTCTTTTCTGTCACAGCAAATGTGTGATTTCATCTCCCATTTCTAGACTGCCTATTTCTTTCATTTCCAACCTACTGCCATTAGTCTGTTTCTACAGCTCACTTCTCTTACCCAAGTTTCAGATGTACCCTATTAATTTTTTCCCTGCTTCTAGTCTGTCTTCAATTTCTGAAAATCAAATGTCACTCACTATTAAGATTTGCCTATGCTACGAGCTTTCAATGTTTCTTCCTTAGCTATGGAATTAAATTCAAATTCAAGTCAGAAATGCAGTCACCCTTCAGATCAATTTCAAAAGTAATCTGTTGCTTAAAATCTTCTGCGACATGGACATAACATCCACATCATAATCATCCCTCCTTGCCTTATTCCTGTTTAATATTTTTTCTTATTGGATTATAAATACTTTAAGAAAAAGACCAAATCATGTTCATTCTTGGATTCCTAGCCCTGGCTTAGTGATATATACACACAAAGCAGACATTTAATATTTGTTTACCAAGTTTAATTCTAATTCCAAACTTAAAGTTAATATTACATATGTGCACTTACCGGCTCTAAATACACCTCTTAGATGAAACACTTTTACAATTGGCTTTAAAAATCAATTTGACACAGACGACAATATATATCAAACATTAGAATGGACGTTAGTGTCCAAATATATATACATAATTAGTACGCCATATTTAAAGGGAGCCAATGCCATCAAAATCTTACACATTAGGACCTTAACAAGAATATAGTCACATCATAAGTAAAAGAGAAAAACTAAGAAAGGAAAAAACCTTGAGTTTTCTGGATTAAGATATTACATAAAAGTAGACTGACAGTGTTAATGAACTTGGTATTTAATTCTATTTACTTACACAGGACCCAATTATTATATATGCAAATACCTTTGCGGCAGATTCTAATGCTTCCTTATTTTTTTGCCTTTCTTCTTCCAAACATTTTCCCAATATTTCCTGTAAATTATAAGATGTTTGGAAAGACACTAAATGTATTGTTTGAAGCAACAAAATGTATGCATCTACACTGCACACACTTCAAGTATTACCTTCTGTTCTTGAGATTGCTGATTCAAGGCTTCATTTATTTTTTCTTTTAACAGTTCCTTCTCTGTATCTAGCATTTCAAGGAGCCTCTGATGCTACGAGAAAAGATAACTGAATTATAATATGGTTCTATGACAACACAGGAAACAGCTAACAGAACTCATTTGCCCCCAAGTATTGAATTATATGTTGGAGGAAGTAATCTTTATGAAGTTTGCTTAAAATGAAGGTGTAGGGACCAAATACAGTGAGTTCCTCTTCCTCCAACTGGTGACCTACATACATTTTAGTCCCCTAAATTTAGTAAACTAGATGTGATGAGATCTAACAAGAATGCATACGCCAATGGAAAATTAATAAGAGAATGATAATACATCATTCTTCAAAACTAAATTTGGAATGATTATTAGCTAACTACAGAAGTGATCGAATAATAAGTAAAAAAATGAAATGTTTAGTTGATAGTCAACTATTATAAAAATTATTTGTTTCTAATGAAGCATGGTTGAAGACACTGAAATATTAATTCATCTTACCCCAAGATTTTCCTAGTTTCAAAAAATGAATCTATAAAATTAGTCAAAGGAACATTACATAATAGCTAGTACTAAAGGGTATAAAGCTCATGTATTTATTTTTATTCCAATGTGCTAACAAAAAAAACCCACATATTAAGATGTATGTATGTGAGGCTTCAATGGAGCTAAGAAAATCAGACTTCCATGGCCTCAATATATCCAATAAGGATGAGCTGGATACTGTTGTGTAACCATGCTCTGATATGAAAACAAAACTAAGAAATGGAATGCCAGTCACACGGATTCTTCATTTAGTTAATAAAAACAAAAAAGATATTTTCTCAGATTTAGAAGGCAAGAAATATACAAGCCTCTTTTAAATTTAACCCATTCTTATACATCATGTTTTAAAACAGGTTTATATCTTTCAAAGTTGTTCTGACTTAAATTTTTTTTCAGCGATGCAGTCTATCCTGAGAGTAAATGATCAGAAGTGCATGTCTAGTTACAATAATTTATTATTACTGCTTTTAATCATGTTACAATTCATCTTTGTTTTTTAAAAAAGTAATAAGAAAAATCACATGAAAGATATATTTTTCCTTAAAAACAAATCCAAACTGTAACACAAATAATGACATGACTCAGAATTCGTGCCACACTGAGTTTTTGAAAGGCAGCTAACAAATGAGTAGCCTATATAAGTAATAGCTAAGACTTTGATTCTATATTCTACGTAAGTCAAGAATTTCACAGTAGCAGAAAGCAATTGAACTATTTAAAATATACAAAGACCAGTGATATATGCGCACCTATGTTTATACTGGAACAGTTTGTAATAGCTAAAACTTGGAAACAGCCCATTTGCCCATCAGATGGAAACTGGATAAAGAAGATGTGGTTTTTCTATAAAATGGAATACTACTCAGCCATAAAGAATAAGAAATTAGATTCATTCATAGGAAAATGGATATATATTGAGGATATACTCCTAAGTGAAATAAATAAGTCACACATGTGTAAATACCAAATAGTTTCTCTGGTGTGAATAAACTGTAATAGTACATAAGATCCTAATGAGATAACTGACATTTTTAAATGGGAAGAAAAGGGCTAAAGGTGTAGGGAAAGTGGGAAGGGTAGGGGAAAGGTAATAAGGGAAAAGAAAACAATGTGAGAAAAAGAAAAAATGGAAATAAAGTGTTTGTAAATGGGGAGGGGAGGATAGGGTGAAGGGAGGGCAGGGATAAGGGGAAAAAAATGAGAACCAAGACTTGTCATGTAAAGGTACAAGATCCCAATAATGAATGTAACTGTACTGTATACCTAAAATGTACCAATAAACTCAATAAAATAAAAACATACAAAGACATCACACTAGGCAAATAATTAGACTTAACAATTATATATATAAATTTCATGCGACCAAAAATGTTCTTTTTAGGCTTGAAAAGGAGGTAAATACAATAGAAATAACAAAAAATAACCACTACAGAATAAAATTTTCAGAGTCATAAATAACTTAGAAAAATATTTTTTCTTAAAAAGAACTATTATGACAGCAAGTCAAACAAATTGAAATCATTGATTAATTTCAAACTATAAATGGGTCAAGTTTTACCAATGGCCCAACAAGAACTAAATATAAAGAGGTTACATTAGGTAAAATGATAAGGTAATGTTTGGAAAATTCATTCCTTTAAAGGCAGTTATGACTGTATGCTGTAATGTTAGACATTTTTTGAGCTTGCTTGCACACAAATGAACTTGAAATTATTTTTTCAAAGCAGTCCACTTATACCCTGAATGAAACCATGGATCTTCTTGAAAAACATACATCTGGGTTACAGGACTGGCTCATTCATATCATTTTCTATAAAGTATTTTTAAGGTGCTGTTAAAAGTGCTTTACATGAAGCAGTACCACCTTAAACTCTAACCATAAACTGCTATATTCTTCTATATTCTTCTCATTTTCTAATGAGAGACAGAACTTACCAGGTCTTTAATAAATCATTTCAACAATAGTCAAATTCTATATACACATTATCACAAAAAGTAATCACCTAATAGCTAAACGTAGCCCGACTATTATATAGCTATCAAACATATTGACTAACAGCTGCAAGATAAAAGTAATATGAATTGAGACCTCATGATCTATGCTTTTGATTCTATTCTTTTCATAGTACTGCTAAAATAAGATTTAATTCCTGCCAATCCCTTCACTGGGAAGAGGAAGGGCTTAGAGGGAGGGTAGATAAGTGTTTTAATTTACCACATGTACCTACATATAAAAGTCACCTTTTAAAAGATTTTAGTATTTTTTTTTTTACCAGATGTTATGTCCAGCTACTGTGTTAGGATATTTAAAAATTTTAGTACAGATGGCCTTCAACTTACAATAAATAGTTCAACTAAAGATTTTCCACCTGTGTGAGGGTGTGAGAGTGATACAGTCAGTAGAAACTGTACTGCCCATTGGATCTTACAGGAAAACATCATATAGTATCCTATAAATATGCACAATTTCTATCAATTAAAATAAAAAAGAATTCTAAAACAATATCCTCGTTACATGTTATCAGTCACATCTCACCAGTATCTAAAGTGAATTATAGAGAGGTTACATAAACTTCCTAGGGGCATAGGACTGATAAGCAGTTAACTGAGACCAGGACCCAGGGAGCGATCAATGAACACAAGTGTTATTATGCCTCAGGTGTACCTTAATATCTAGTTACTGGTAAAGTTTTGACAGAAAGTAGTATAACCCACCTTCAAAATTTTTATATGTCCTTCCTGCTCTGCCCACATCTCTCAAAGGGTCTCTCTCCAGATCTGACATTAGTGATTTTTCATGTGATCTGGGTTAAGTTTCCTTAAAACCAAACATATATTCATAAAATGTGCTCCTCTATGGATTGTTTTCATGACAATAGCAATCAGTAAAAGTAATCTGTGTTGTGATAGAGCAATATTGAAGCTATCATAACCCTTAAATGTGTGGAATTTAACAGTTTGTTTTTCATCTAACAGTTCAGTCTTCCTGACTCTTCAGTGGTCTGACCAAGTGGTAATCCACCGATCTAATCTTCTTCAAGCCTGTAACCCCTCTTCTCCTGTAATCTGAAAGTCTTTCACATTATACTAGTGAATAAAAGGAGGTGATAGATAATGGATTATTGGCTACTTCCACAATCAATGTGCTCTTTTAGAGCAACAGAGATGTACCAATGGTACCTCAAAGTGGGAAGGAATCGAGACGATGGGATATGTCTGTGCTCCATGCAGGTCTGAACCAAACTTTACCAGTACACCTAGGTATTAAGGTGCACCTGAGGCATAATAACACTTCCGGAGTTAAAGCTCCATAAAGTAGCAAGAAAAGAAAGCTATTCTTCCTCATTTTAATAATCACATTTACGAAGAACACTTTTAATGAATCCAACTCTACCAAATGTAAGATACCACACGATCTATCACGGACATGGTATATAGTCCTACTTTTTCTTTGGTCCATTTCAAGATTAAATCTGTAATTTGTTCCTGATGTGCCTTGTTAGAAATAAATCAATTTATTCTGTAAATTTGCTTTGTTTTATTCATTCTTAGTGAAATCTTATCTTTCACATTATATTTATTAGACTATATTTTCATAATGCTCTATTAATCACCTACAGAATGATTATAAGTCCTTATGTCATCTCACATCTGGCAGTATTAATTTCTTTTTTGTTTATGGCTGATCCTATAGTACTTTAAAATATTGCTGTAGAATGTTTAAAAAATATAGAAAGTAAATAATAAAACTCCTTTCACTTATAATTCATCTGCAACAGTTTCAGACATGCTGCCTGTCTTTTGTCATCTATAATGCCAACCACTAACCTACTACATAGTAAGTACTGTTTTCTTCAGGAAAATTTAAAATTCATTAAAATATACACATCTTAGCTATAGAACTTTGACAAATCTTAGCTATGTAACAAATATCTCTAGTTGCCCAAAAATGTTCCCTTCTCTTCGAAGCAACACATGCTGTTACTTAGGTATTATACAATTTAGATATTACTTAACTTAGACATTACACAACTTAGATTTACTTAGTAAAGTTATTACTATAATTTAGATACTACACAGTTAATACTAGAATTAATTACTGGGTTCATATCCATTTCAAAAATTAGTTATCCACTTTAGATTGGCTTTGCATGAAGTATATTTTATAAACAGTTTCATTGGCTCCGCAAAAAAGTGCAAGACTCACTTATGTATCCATAATTATCACTAAACAGTACTACTCAGTATGACTGTATCATCATATGTATACTAATTCTATTGATGATTGGCATTTGGGTTGCTTCTAAGTTTTGGCTACATGAATAAAGTAATCATGAATATTCTTGGACACAATTTTATTTTTGTTGCAAGTACATGGCTGCTTTTATAGAAAATTGCTGAATATTTTTCCAAATGGTATACTGACCACTAGCAACATGTGAGAGTTCCTATCACCATTTGGTGATTTTAGTTTTCTTATTTCACTCATTTTAGTGGATGAACTAAAAACCGTC